GGTTTCTAATACGCCTAGTAAAAAGCATAAAGTTTTTTAAAAAAAAAGCCTGGCTGGATAAGTACACGCAGTAAGGCAGACCTACTAGCTAGATTTAAGTTTTAACTACAAGCTTTTTAACTGCAACAACTTTAATATACGCTATTAGAGCTAGAATTACTGTAGCTGCTAGCACTAGACTTGCCCTCTAATTATTTTTTGTTAAAAAGTTTAAATTGTACTTATTCTAATTACAAAATCCAAAAAAGCCCTATATTAGTATTTATTATTACTACTTTTTTGTATTAGAATTGGGTAATTTGCGCGCCTGCTGCTTTTTTTAAATATAGTAGCTATTTCTTAGGCTCCTTCTCTAGAATTAAACCCTAATTCCCTGTTACCTGTTAAAACTATAGTAAGCCAATACTTTACTATTAAAAGTTAATAGGGTAGAAATTTAAATAAACTATTGCTGGCGTAAGGCTATATAATCTGTAAAATTATTATAAATTACTAAAAAGCTCTAAAGGGCGTTAGTTTTTTATTTAATAAATACACTCCTTTTAAAGTTGGAGTTTTTAGCATATATTAGTTCTAGAATTATTATAGTTATTTAAGTAGTAAAGTACTATCAAATAAACAATAACTAATTTAATAAGCTATTTGTAGTTTTACAGTATAATTGCTTATACTTAAATATATATAGCTTAATTTTTAAAACAAGCATATAACTACTAGCAGAATTAACTAGGTAACAATTTTATACCTAGGCGCACAAGGCACGCAGGCACAAACCTTCTAGAAAAAGTAGAAAGTACTAAGCAGGTAGCTATACAAAGCAGCGCTAGCTACTTACTACAAAAGTACATAGGGTACTAATACTGCAAGCAACTAATTTAGTTGCCCCTACTAAATTCTCTAAAGTGCAGTCTAAGACGGGGTATTACTAGCGTTGCTGCTAAAAAAAACCCGCACTATACGCACTTTAGAAAAAAAAAACTTATAATTGCCTTATTACGCACGCAAGCGCAAATATTTAGTAAAAGTATTTCTAGAAATTTAATAAATAGTTAGCAAAGCTAGCTATCTACAAACCCCAAATAGTGCTTATTTGTAAAAATAAATAGAACTTTAGGTATTAACTGCAAGAATAGGTGCAGCGCTGGGGTATTACTTTATAATATAGGCTTTAGCTAACTTGATTAAGTAGAAAACAGCTACTTAGCCCCTAATATCGTGCTAATTAAAGTAAATATTACTAGTTAATATTTAAAAAACAGGGCGTGCAAATACAGGACTATAAATATACAAACTGCCCACTAATAATGCCTAAGCTATTACTAAAAAGTAGTAGAAAATAAATGCAGGTAAAACAGTTTTTAAGCTACTTTTTTTATACTATACACCCTACTAATAGCTAGCCTCTAAGTATAAAAAGCCCCTAGAAGCCTTTTTTATGCGCAAAACTAATAAGTACTAGTACGCTTATTAATAAAGCACTTTGCAGTAAGCAGATTAATTTAATTAAAAGCTTATTATTGCTACTGCAAAAAAAGAAAAATAGGCAGAAAAACTAGCATGCTAGCTCTATCCTTAGGCAAAAGCTTATTTTATACTTTATTACTAACTATTATTTACGCTTTAACGCCCTTAAAGCTTACTGCAAATAGTAGTAAATAAAATAGTTATATTTTTAGAAACTTTAACTGCCCTTTTTATATAGTATATAGAAGTAATTAACTCTAGTTTTTGCGTCGTGGGGTAGATATAGCAGAAAATATATTAAAGCTTAAGTTTTTACTAGCAAAATTGTGGAAATATGCGCAGCGCTATATAAACTATAAACTTGTATTTGCCAACTTACGCGATATAGTTATTTTTATTTTCTAGAAAATATTTTTAGTTATAGGGAGTATAGAGAGAGTAAGTATATAGTAGTAGTAATAACTATAAGCTTAAATTAATATATAATAGCGTTCTAGTAGTAGTTCTAAATACTATTATTATATAATTATTAA